GTCTGAAAACAAGATCAAAAAGACTTTTTGGCTGATATAAGGTTTTAAAACGTGGTAAGATGGACAGTTTTTGCAGTGCACATCCTGAGTTTTTGTGATTTGAAAGATTCTTGTTGGTCTGCATTAAATTCAACAGACAAATAAATAGTCTGTGATGGTTAACRCTGGCTCCGCCCACCTCACGCCACCTAATTGTTGCTGATGTTTGGGTGTAGAGAGCAGCAGAGCCACGGAGCCATTAAGTGAGCAGGCAGGGCCTGATTGGCTCCGGACCATCCCCCTGAAATAGCAGGATTGGCTGCCGGCCAAGCGCCCATTTCCTGTGCGTCTGAGAGGAGCTGCAGCCACCGGGGCTCAAATGCATTTCCTGACTGAGGATAAAAGTTTTATTAATGACCAGGAGTGCATCAGCAGCAAGGCCTGCTCCACRAACTCATTCGCTCATTCATGAGCTCATCAAGAGGAGAGGAGAGGAGCAGGGAGTGGATCAGAGTCCAGCTTTAAGAAAACAAACCAGAACTCTTCTGCTCTTTGTTCTGTTGGGTTCAATGAGACTTTCCAGGTTTATAAGTTCTGATCCAGGACTCTGAGGTCCTGCAGGGATCAGGTTCCAGCAGCAGGAAGCTGAGCTCAGCCACAGGAAAACCTGAATGGAAAGCTTGAAACGCACAGAGGAGATAATCACATCAGGAAGATGAAAGATGAGAGCTGTCAACACTTCCTGTCAGGGCGGGGCCAACAGGAAGACATCCTGTCCGTCACTGAGCTGGAGCTAAGACCTGAGCCTGAACCTGAACCTGGACCTGATGTTCTGGTCTGTGTGTTAATGGTTTACTTTGGTTCTAGTCTGGTTTCCTGTCTTGTACCTCCTCCTGCCTGTCTTTGCTCCAGCCCCGCCCAYTCTCACCTGTTCCTCATSTTTGTCTCCCAGGTGTTTCTTGTTTCTAGTTTCCCTTGATATTCTGTTCTTTGYCCTCAGTCTGTGTCAGAGTCTCTTGTTTATGGATATCCAGTATAAAAAAGGAAGATGTTTTTTTAAAAAACAAAAGAAAGTAGAAGAGAAGAAACAGTAATATCAGGACTAAGGTTTGGACACACTGGGTTAAACATGCAGCACATTGTTTAAAATAGGAAAAAATTATACAGAAAACTGTGAATTTTGTGATTTGGAAGAAACTGTAAAACACGTTATGATACACTGTAAAAAATACAATAAAGAGGCATTTTATACGAAATCTGGAAAAAATTAAAMTAAGTTACAGACTATCAGAAGTGCTACAGAAATGATTCACATTTATAACCCAGTTTTTATGAAGTGCTAACKWMTTTGGAAGGATATAAATTAATTAGTCAGTTAAAGAATTATTAGTTTTTTAAGTAAAGAATCTGATCCACACTCATAACCAGTTGGTGGCGACAATACACCATTAAGTTGATTGTCAACCGCCAATAAATAACAGAAGAAGAAGAAGAAGAAGAAGAGTCTCTTGTTTGCCACCTCACCAGTCTTTGTTTTTGTAATTTAACCTTTTTTCAACTCTTTTTGCCGCCCTCACTCAGTCCTGCATCTGGGTTCAAAACACCTGAGTCTGGACCTGAGCCTGGACCTGGACCTGGACCTGGACCTGATCCATTCTGGGAGGACTCCACAGTGCAACCAGACCAGCTGAGAGACTGCAGAGTGTCCTGCGTCCTCTCAGTAGGACATGAAGCCCCTCCCAGAGTCCAGGGTCCACCCTCACCAGATGAACCTCCTCAGCTGGTTCCTCTGGATGTGGACCAGAGAACTGAACCGAGTCCAGATACCCTGCAGAGGAGACTCCTGTGGACATCCTGGGTCTGGGATCTGGTCCTTTCCCTACATTTAATGTGTCGATCACATCGTGYCACAACACTGTTGATGTTTGACGTCTGACTTCCTGTCCAGCTGTGGTTCTGGTCACATGACGCATGCAGCAAACACACAACGACACTAAGCATGAACACACACTCACACACACACGTGCAGAGTGAAGCGCCGGCAGAAATAAATGACTTTGTCAGCTGGGATCTGTTAATCAGGCCGTTTGTCATTGATCCCTGCCTGACCCAGAACATCTCTGCTCACTTTGTTCACTGTGTGTCGTTTTTATTGTTGTGTTTCATCACCAGASACTGCGACAACATGTTACACTTCTACACAACTTTCACTGAGGTACAGATAGAAATATCAGACGGGTGAGAATCTAAACGTTTCTGCAGATTTCTCTTCTGAATCCAGAAAGTTTGTTGTTTTAAAATCGACACAATAAAAGTGTGAAAAGTGTCGTTAGGAAGACGTTGTTGTTCTCGTGAAACAAACCTTCGCTGGTTTCTTTCAGATAATCTCATCGTGTCCATCTTCTCCCCTCCTCAGTGTCTCTATCAGCAGTTTGTTTCATCGCAGATCCTTTCCTCAACAGGAAACAGAGCTCCCCTCAAGCCCATTAGGGACCAGTGTCCAGTTACACTGGTGTGTGTGTGTGTGTGTGTGTGTTTGTGTGTGTGTGTGTGTAGTATTGTTCTGCAGCCTGAATCTTGCTGAGTAAGGACACAGACCATAAGAAGACAAGAACAGACCGACGTGGATCCTCACACGACAGAGACACACTTTGAATTACAGCCAGGCAGCGTTTWCAGCCTCATCAGTGATGATGTCATCGTCTGAACAAATTTATCATCTTTTTAAGTTTTATTTCTAACTTCATTGTTGAACTAAAAAGTGTTTTAATCAAATTATGTTTCTATCATGTAGGAAAATAACGTCACGGCGTCTCCTCGTGTGTGTGAACCTGTTTTTTATATTTCTGCAGCTTCACTCCTCCACATGTCTGTCTCTCAAGTCCAGGGATGGTAAAGGGTGGCCTGCGGGCCACATCCAGCCCAGAGGAAACCTCCATGAGGAACCAATTAGGACCTCCCCTGCAATTAAAAAATAATTCAAACAACTCTTAGATTAATTTTTAAAATTACAGAAGTGTCTCAGTGGAACGGAAGAGGATTAGGACCACTGAAAAAATAAAAAGAGGAATTCTGACTTTAATCTCAGAATTATGAGATTAAAGTCAGAATTACTTTTTTTATTTTTTCAGTGGCCCTAACCCTCTTACAGTGGCTCTGACTTTATTGTAATGATAAAGTTTGACACTAGATGGCGCCTCCGACGCCGACGCCACGTCGTGCACACGTCTTTCCTACCAGCGAGGAAGAGATGTTCAAATATGTTTCAGCTGAAATGTCAGGTAAATGATCTGCTCAGAGAATCAAACGTGTGTTCAGTCAGTTCAGAGGTGCTGTCTGCCATGAAGAGTTTAATATACGTCACTCCAACACGCTGCACAAAGCTAAATATGACAAGTTTACCCAACAAGAACAGGAACCACAGAGAGTCTGACGTCAAACTTCAGCTAAAGTAAGTGTTTATTTTTTGTTCACTTCAAACATTTTTTATTGATTTTCATTAAATTAAATGTAAAAATACTTTATCAATCTAAAAGACAAGTTAAAGAAAACATAAAATAAAATAAAAACAACTGTTTTATGTGTATTTGAGCATGAAATATAAGAAGTTTCTGCTGTATGTTGGTTTATTTAACACATATATACCTGCACATCTCCAGGCTCTCTTCCACCTGCTCCCTACCCTCACTACAGATGTTGTCTGCTGTTGGTGACGCCTCTTCTCTGCCGTTTATCTTTAATAAGACAGAAAGGTTATTCAGAAAAAAGAGCCCATCCTGTGTGTTTATGTGAGTTCTGCTCTGTCAGTGATGGAAGAGGGAGGAGTCAGAGGGAGGCTGGGAGGAGGAGGAGGAGGAGGAGGAAGGTGGAGTGAATGTGTGTGTGTGTTCAGCTCCCAGTCATTCATCTCTCACAGAGACAAGAGGAAACACCAGAGGACAGATTTAACTCAAGCTGATCAGTTCATCTCTACCTTTAAGAACTTCTTTAACTTCTTGATTTAAAACCTAAACTCAGCTGTTTGTGCTTCTGCCTGGAGATATTTCCAAGGATTCCAACACATCGTTCGCAGCTCAGACCTTGGCTGAGCTCAGAGCTGTCCGCTGCATCTTCAATAAAACAGACTGGTCGACTTGTTTTGGGAGGAACCCGGACAGGAAGCACCTGGGATCAGAGCGCTCCTGAAGAAGAGGAGGAACAGGAGGAGGAGGAGGAGGAGGAGGGGGTACCATCATCCTCCCAGCTCCTTCACCACCTCAGACACCAAAAACTTCTACAAGTTCACAGCTTTTAACAAATATAACCAAGTCTGATCAACCTGATCAGACCCTCAGAGGAAGAGCCAATCAGGACGCAGCGCCGCAGAATGGATCTCCCACCAATCAGAGGTGAGCGTGAATTCATCCCGTCGCCATCCAATCTGAGCATGAAATATTGATGATTTGCATGACCTTGATGGTGGACTTTGATTAGAATTTGTGACAAAGTGTTTAAAGTTTGTCATCAAAATAAAAGCTACAATCTGCRGAGTCAGCAGAAATTCATCTGTGGCTCCAAAGCGTTTACATTTAAAACAGTTTCCACTCAAAAAGCCWGTTTTGGTTCAGTTTGATCTGATCAGATATTCTATAAATATTTAAACAGAGAGGAAAATCAGACAGAAGTCATGGGATCAGAAGCTGCTCTGAGCCGTAGGACCATGTTTGAGAAAACTTTGATTGACATTCAGACATAAAACTCTGAAGAAAACAACTAATGTCTGAGTAAAAACATAAAGTAAAGTGGTTAAAATCTAACTAACATAATACAGCAAATCTGTTTGAAATCTGATGCAGCAACGCTAAAATAAAACCTAAATATTAGAATAAAATAAAAGTTTGTATAATGTCTCTCACAGATAAATAATCACAACTAAATAAAACATTTAGTAACTTATTAACAAAAAAATACAAGTCAAAGC